AGTTATTCAAATAACTGTCAAAGTATTATTTGTCTGTGTCAGTCTGTAACACTGGAAGGCCGCTAAGCGTGTTCTTCGGTACCTTAAAGGCACCAAGGATCACCGACTACATTTTAAACCATCAGGTCAGTTCCAACCCGTGTGTTATGTTGATGCCGACTATGGAAACAATCTTGTGGACCGACGTTCATACACCGGTTTTGTATTTTTATTGAACGGTACCCCTATATCATGGGAAGCTCGCAAGCAGCGTACAGTAGCGCTTTCCACGACAGAAGCCGAGTACATGGCTCTGGCGGAGGCTTGCAAGGAGGCTATTTACCTCAAATCGTTCATAACCGAAGTATTCGCCGTCACTCCACAACCCATCATCATACACACTGACAATCAAAGTTCTATCAAATTAGCACACAATAACACTTATCATGCACGCACCAAACATATTGACATTAAACACCACTTCATCCGCGACTCACTTATATTACATAATCTTCACCTGAAATACATACCCACACAAGACATGATTGCGGACATTTTCACAAAACCGTTGCCGAAACTAAAGCACACCAAATGTGCACACTTATTAAGTTTAGGTTAAGGTTTTGTTGTATGTATATAGGGTGTGTAAGTTAGTCATAGGTAGGTGTATATACAGGTTGATATTTTTATATTCAATGTTTATTGGTGTGCAGTGTTTTATATGTATAATTTAAGTGTGTGTTCACTTTGTTATTGTCAACAGGATGTTCACATTGCGGGAGGGTGTTAAACCTGCTTGGTTTCAATGGGAACATCCTGGCCGCTGTATGGTAGATGCGACAGTTATTCAAATAACTGTCAAAGTATTATTTGTCTGTGTCAGTCTGTGCTTCCAAAATTATAATATTAATAGACAGGTACCTATATAAGATTTCAAATTTTATTATTTATTTTGATATTATTTACAGTTTTTTTTTCATAATACCAAGTGACAGGACGAACAGGTTGTGGGTCTGGTGGTAAGCGACACGCCTGTCCATAACAGTTGTAGTGCCACTCAGAGCACTGCCACTGCTCCCGTCACCCTGAGACATAAGTTGACAAGTCTCGTGTACCTGTAATTTCACCAACACCCTTATCTTTCTAAACCGGAACGCAGTAATGCTCACATTATCGCTTGGCGGCAAAAATAGTGAAGGTGGTACTTCTGTGGACGAATTAATTCAAAAGGAGCTCTAAAGTTAGGTACTAAAAATTAAATTTCAATTACAAAAAATAGACGAGATTTTAAAAACTATAAAATTGCAGATTTAAATTTACTGTTTATACAGTTCCACGTATAGGTAAAAATGGTGGTATGAGATTTTGTAGTTCGAAGGAATGCTCATTAAAATACCCATAGTTGCAATTAAAATTTTTTATCGAATTTAATTATTAAAAAACTAGGTGTTATATTTAAGATTTAACTTAAAACAAGACGTAAATATTTTAAAACAGTCGTGAAAATCTAAAACATGCTTCACGGACATAATTCGAAATGTCGCTTACGGGTTTTCTACAAAAAAACAACAAAAAAAACAAATAAGTATTATGAATGAGGAACAAAATCTCACGCTGCCTCTTCCAATATAAGGCCACAAGATTCTAGTACCTAACCAATTGCGAATAAAATAAGTGTCGTTTCATACAATGTCTCAACCAATAACAATAACGGAAACTCGCTGTCCAAACATGATAATAGGTTACTCAAATCTTTTCTAATAAAATGAGCAAAAAAACACCTTATTAAATAGATCGGGGCTTGTTCAGCTACCGAATTAACGAGCGGCGAGCTAACGCAATCATATAATTACAAACTCTGCCAATACCTACAGCTCACTCGAGGGGAGGAGTTTCACCGGCGATCAATACTTGAAACTGGCTACGCTAGGCCTCCAACACGCGCGTTACGTCTCGCTTTAACCCGACAGTAAAGCAAAAAGGACTGAGCGAGACGCAAAATGGTCCCTCCGATTCGCCGGAACAGGTCCTCTGGGCGTACCGTCGTCTCTCATCGCGCTGCCTCAGTCGGCATTAGACACCGCGCGCGCGGACACGGTCGCCGTGCAATGCACGCGTAGATATACAAGTTTCCACCATGCTCGTGCCTCCCGAGATGATGGCGGCTCAATCTAAATTGGTGTATCAAATGAACAAATATTACAACGAACGAGTAGCGAATCGGAAAGCACAAATCACAAAAACCATTCACGAAGTCTGCAGGATCGTTCAGGATGTGCTCAAAGAAGTAGAGCTTCAAGAGCCAAGGTTCATCTCTTCGCTGACGGATTACAATGGACGATTCGAAGGTTTGGAAGTGGTGTCACCGAACGAGTTTGAAATTGTGATTTATTTAAATCAAATGGGTGTTCTCAATTTTGTGGACGACGGATCTTTACCTGGATGTGCTGTGCTCAAACTGAGTGACGGCAGGAAACGCTCCATGTCCCTCTGGGTAGAGTTCATCACGGCGTCGGGGTACCTGTCCGCGAGGAAGATCAGGTCTCGATTCCAGACGCTGGTGGCTCAAGCGTGTGACAAATGTTCCTATAGAGACTGCGTTAAAATGATCGCAGAAACCACAGAAGTGAAATTGCGTATACGAGAACGATATATTGTGCAAATAACTCCAGCTTTCAAGTGTGCCGGTCTGTGGCCACGATCGGCGGCACACTGGCCACTGCCCGCTATTCCATGGCCACATCCAAATATCGTAGCCGAAGTGAAAACGGAAGGATTTGATCTCTTATCGAAGGAATGTTTGACTTTGCAGGGAAAGAATTCCGCAATGGAAGGAGATGCTTGGGTATTAAATTTCCTGGAAGCCGAAAACAGGCTTCTGCAAGGCGGGTGCCGGCGGAAATGTCTCAGCTTACTTAAAACAATACGAGACAGGCATTTAGACCTGCCGGGTAACCCGGTCACCTGCTATCATATGAAGACGCTGCTTCTATACGAATGTGAGAAACATCCGCGGGAACACGAATGGGACGAAGCCGCCATCGGAGACAGGATCAATGGCATATTCCTTCAGCTGATATCCTCGCTGCAATGTCGCAGGTGTCCGCACTACTTCCTGCCTCACGTGGACTTGTTCAAAGGCAAGTCGCCGACGGCGCTGGAGAACGCCGCGAAGCAAGTGTGGCGATTAACGAGGGAGATACTCACGAATTCCAGAGCCTTCGAAAAGCTGTGAGCTCAGAGAAGATTGGTACATTCGTAATGAGTTCGCGTCGCATTGCAGTGCAGTGTTGTGAATAATCCTATAATATTCAATCTCGAGTCATTTTAGTAGGTGTAGTTGTAAGGAAACCGTTGGTTTGTTTTGATTAGAATGTGCTGAACGAAGTGACTTAAAAGTATACGCGAATTATGTTTTACTTTTGTGAAATTTTTCGAAAATTCCACTCGGCTACAGACTGTAAGTAGACGTGATAATTATTAAGATTACGAACGTTTTCGATAATTATTATTTGTGATATAATGTAAATAGCTTACTTGTTGTACAATTTTAGTGATATTTAATTTAAAAAGGACACCCTGTATTTATTTGACTGAAATCTTATAATAGTAGGCGTATAATCGAAAGTTAAAATTAAAAAAAAAATTACGCAATGACTTATTTCTTTACTTGATGAAGAATACCCTTGTTGGCCCTTATTTAAGCACCATAAAAACAAAAATATTTGAAATCGCATCAGACATTATTTTTAATGCATTATTTACAACGTTTTAAAGTAATATAAGTCAAGTAGTAGACTTTAAAAAAAAACCTAATCTATAGACAACTCCTCTTCATCTAACCACGTCAACTTAAAGTGGAGATTCGCATGAAAGTATCCAACAACAGAATTGTAATCAATATGAATGACGTCATAAAACAACTTCAAAATTTTAACTACCACCCGCATTCTAGATAACACGTACCAACATTAAAGGAACAATTTATAATGTTCGTTACAAGAGAATGCAAAGTCACGACAATCTCCATTGGGGGTGGTGTCAAGTTACATAGGCCTTTATGTTTACTTTTTAAGGACCATCGTATAGTAGGCCTTATAAATGGCTTTATACATTGACGCGAATAACGTCCAATGTTTCTTTAATAAGATTATAGTATGCTTAAAATAAACGAAACCATCGCGTGGAAAATTGCATGTTGGAGGAGATAGAAAGAAAATTGACAATAAATTTTATCGTCAACAAGACCTATTATTCCCAGCAGTCACGTGAAGTTATGCAAAATCCATAGAAATCCATCCATCATTATACAGCTATGCTGCCCTTGGAACGAAAAAGGGCACAACAAGTATTTTTATCAAAATTGAGTTACACTTCAGAGATGAAGAATTAAAAAAAAAAATTATTTATATATATTTTAATTATTTTAAGTTATATTTGACGCTATTATGTTAAAAATACTATAATATCAAAGGATTTTACTTAGTAATGTACGGAATTGCGCACTTCAGTTCTATTCATGAGTTAAGTATTAAAAGTCGCATTTGAATTAGTTACGTCGTTTTTTTTTCTACTAATTTAAACGAGAGAATTAAGATAATTTTTAAACGGGCTGTTCTGAATACAACGAACGTTTATATATAAAACATATTACTATGGTATGTATTTATAATATAAATAAAGTACTTAATATCAAATGTATCTTTTAACTATAATTTTTACCAGAAAAACTTAAAAACAATATTTAAACACATATTTAGAATTTGCTGCTTGTGACTTTCTCTCTTTCGAAGGCAGTATGATAATGGTAAATACTAAATATCTGTTGTTCAAATTGTCAAATAAAATTATCATGAGAAAATTTCTCTGCAAAAATTTGCCATACCACAATAGATCAACGTAGTAGACTTTTGAAATTCATTATTGCGAACTTCCGTGCTTCTGTATGAATAAAAATGGTCAATTTATAAACTAAGTAAACGATTTCGTTTTATTTAAAGTATAAAATAGAAAGATAATCATGAGCAAAATAAGCGTGTTAAGTGCGAGGGTTTAAATTGAAAATTTGGTTAGGAAGTACTTACTATGGATTACAGCGAACCTTACTTTTATGCTACACGATGAGTTTAACGCAAAAGTGAACACGTATTTATAGTTATAGGTTTAGGAAAATGTGCATAACTATATATAGCAATTGGTTTCTTTCAGGAATTGATTTAAGATAGCCCGGGTGCTTTAAATTCTATAGTCAAATATGTTGATGAGCATAGACTACTACAACATTATTATTATATAGCAATTAGCAATTAATAATAATATACAAATATTTCTCTCGACTCAGGAATCGAACCCGGGACCTCTGCGTAACAGTTGAGCATGATAACCGTTCGGCCACAGAGGCAGTTAACTATATTTGTATTATATTATGTTCATTATACTATATACACTTTAAGACGACGTTATGTGGAAGTCTTTGGGCCTCTGTTTACCCCGGTATGAGGTAGGCGGGATGGCATATGGATGGATAAAGGCGTGCCGTGATTGGGGAGACGCACGGTCTGACTCTGCTATCAATCAGGGTAAACCCGTAACTTTTAGGGCATTGATCGATAAAACAAATCCATTGCACCAGCTATACAGCCATTTGGATGTTGCCAGTTCTGTAAGTCAGAGGTAAATAACCTTAAGTGCCAAATAGTAAGACTACAGAGCGTTTACAAGAGAATGAGGTCCTTAATTAATCATTTAAAATATTACGGTCAAATAAAATATCGATTGTGAACTGGCAATTGGTACTATCTCAATTTTCTAAAGATTTCACTTTTTAATACCATTTTATACTATTTCGTACTACGCAGCATTGCAAGAAATTCCATTGTTTCTAATAACCTGTGTAAAAAATATATTTAAAAACTACGTATTTTTATTTAATAAACCAGATGCTACATAAATGACGCAAACAAGTTTTTTCTTCATCCCTGTAAAGTTGTCAAAATTGAGACAGTACCGGTTGCCAGTTCACAGTCGATATGTTAAATAAAAAACAAACCACAATAGAACTTAACGTCTTTTACCATGCGTGTTTTTTACATTCTAAAGCAATATTTGTAAAAACATCTAAATTCCAAAACATGGACTTAAGGTTCTTCCCTTACAGAATTATAAAAAAATTCTTGATAAGACGAACGCTGCCTTACTTTTATTTCGTCGTTATTTTTGAGACATACAGTTTAGACAATAGTTATAGGTGATAAAATGGTTTGTCGGAATGTTTAACATTATCTCTGATGTTCAGCTATAGCCTCTTAAATTTGCCATGTGCCGTAAAATAGCGTATAATAAGATAATTGCTATATAGAAATTAATGCTACAGCAGGCAAAAACAAATGATGATTAATTTATGTTATATTGGGTGTTAACGGGCTATGATGATGATATTGGGATGAATGAGTGAATAAAATATTCTTTATTGTACATACAATTATAATTACAACACAAACCAGTAACTAAAGTATAAGAGTAGTAAGATAATGTGCAACAAGCGGTCTTATTGCTATGTAGCAATTTACTTAAATTTGTTAATGAGAATATTTATAATGATTATTAAAAAGACATATTGATACCTTAATCGAGTAAAACTTCACCTCCCATGCAAGAGATTTAAGGTTTGAGTTTGTATTGTGTTCTTTTTTTTTTGTTGGAAAGAGGGTACCTCCATAGTAGTCCCATTTAATTTAGAAGAAAATCATCCACCTCTGAGGGTGGCTGTTCACGCATAAAGATTCATTTTTATAAATCGCGCCTAAATTTTATTCCATGGAGCAATTATTTTAATGGTTGATTTTGCTATTCTCCAATTCAAGGCGTTTCTTCTCTCTCAGTATACTTTGAGTAGTGAGAACCGATTTTTATTATCTCCTGTGTCAAGTTCCGTATTGTGGCGAACTAGGGGATGAATCCGGGTTTGCGCACTTTCCGGTAACCGATTTCAATAAAACTTGGCAAATAGATGTAATTCCACGTACTTTTAAGGTCGGTTTTTTTAGTATTCTGTACTGAGATTATTATAATATCATGGACGGGACGAACAACTCGTGCGCCTGACGGTAACGACATCCTTATCTTACCTTATCTTATAAGTTGCAATGCCACTTTAAATCGCAATGTTCTGATGGGCACTGTCACTGCGCCTGGCACCCTGGCACAAAGTTGCCAAATACACATGCTGACATTATTGTTTGGCGGCAGAAATAAGTAAGCCTGGCAGTACTTCCTCGGACGAAATATTTCACACAGAGCTCTATTCCTACTAAACAATCACTCATGGTAATAATGAAGGAAAATTTCGAGACGCCATCAGCGTAACGGAGCTCTTAGAACTATGCGACACGCAGGGCACGACAAAAGATGTGCCATTGACTGGGGAGTGACACTACACATAAATGCGCTCTCCGAGCTTTAACCCGACCTTTACATGCTCTCCCTGCTCCGGCCAAAATGGGGTCGGTTTCGCCGTTCAGAGGGAATACTTCTTTAATGAAGGTATGGTGACTCTTCAGCCTGTGGGTTACCGGCACGTAATGGTGTAAGGGGATGCCGCGGGTTAGCCTCTTTTTCTTTACCTTTCTTCCTAGGTTTACGGACGGACGATATAAATCCCTTAAAGTAGCGTGTACGGACCATTAACGCGTATTTGTATTTATGATGATGGTGAATTATAAAAACGTAAGCAAAATAAAACAAATAATGTAGATTATTAAAATTAACATACATTGCATCAACAAAACCGAATTAGAGAACAAAAATAAAATAAAATAAGAAAGTCACAGCGGCGTGATGGGTCGTTTCAAAACAATTTATGGTCTCTATAAAAAACCACGCAAGTGCTCTCAATGTGGTATAATAAACAATGTCGCACCAAATCCGTACAATTACCATGTTATAAAATAGTGTCCGAATAATACAAAACCGAATAAAAGTGTAACGATTTCGATAGCCAAAATGGGGGCCACCATCGAAAAAGTCACTACAAGGCGCGGAGAAGAACGTCTGTGATAATAAAACATTCCAATACATGCTTAGATAAGTTGAATAAGATACGTAATGTGGGCTACAATGCCACCGAAAAATACATTGACAAGATAAAATTAAAACCAGATGACCGACATACTAAGCTATATAAAAAAAGAATCTAACACACTTTTTAACACACAATTTTTATTTATCGAGTGTTTGGAATTGGCGTACCCACCTAAACTTTAATCGAGAACTTGAGCAAAGAAAGAGGTAGAGCTTTATTAGTAAGCATGCACGGAAAATACAGTTTACATAATTTTAGATTAGTATAGTTCAACTTGTTGCGCTAGTAATTGGTATACAAATATTAGTAGCAAAGTAGGCAACGTTCACATTTATTATTAAAGTCATATTGAATTATATGATTAGGATTTTTTTAATAGAATAATGTAATTTGAAAAAAAAAAGATTTATTTATTTACAATCAAAACAGTGACTTCATGATTCTCCACATTCGGGATTTCGATCGGAATATCCTGGAGAAAGAAAATAATGAACGCAGGCTTTATGTCAGCCTGTGACAAAACGTATGGTATATGTGCAAA